TAACTGATTCTAAAATATAGTTGCAACCTTGAAATTCTAAAACGGTGCTTGAAGCTGGTTTGGAAATATTGTAGTAACTTTGAAACTGTAAAACGTAATCAACATTTTCACTAAACTGAATCTGAGGTTTATTCTTACATAACAATCATCTCAACAAAGTGCAAGGTTTGAAAAGGATATCAAAACAATGACTTTTGGTGGGTATTGCTTTGAAATATTTACCCATCAATATGATATATAAGAGAACACGTTACTCACGTACTAAAGACAAGATAGTCCACCAACATAGTGTTGGTTTTTTACCCTGGTATTAGGAACCACAACCAGCTGATGTTCATTCACATTTAGTACAGCAATGGATATTAAAGGCTGCTAGTGTAAGTTCAATAATATAAAAACAATTGTTTCCCGTTCTCTTCATAAAAAAAGTAGAGGTGTTTATTATGTTAACACTGAGAACATGCAAAAATAACACAAGTTGATTATCTTTAAAATAAAATGAAGTATTCTGCTGTAATAGATGTTAATTTGTGTATTCAAATTAGTCATAATGTTTATAATAAACGTGATACTAATGTTTATTAAGGTAAAGCACTAACCTAAGTCTCTTAAAGTGGATGAACGTAGTGAGATATTATTGGAATTATGGCCGAAAATATCGTTAACAGTTAGGGTACCCAACTGATGAAACAATGCATTATAATTTTAAAAAATAGAAATGAAAGAAAAGTATATATAATTAGCTACACTCATTATCAAATTGATTTTTAGTTTCGCTCTAAGAAAGTATTATTATTTGTAAGCAAATAATAACACATTTTTTTATGTAAATTAACCAACTGGTACTTGAAATACAAGTAATTTAGGTTAAAATCCAGGCAGATTTGTATTCCATACACAAAATAATTTAATGGGAACGGAACCTTTGTGAACTTCACGTTCAATCCTATTGGTTGAGTCAAACATTTCGACAGCAGTCGGAACAAACCAGTAAGGATCGTGAGCTTGAAACAAACAAGAAAAACCTACCAGCTGCGCGTACACTTTAGAAACTTTGGTAACGATGAATTCAATTAACAAAAAAAAATAAAAACATTCTCTGCCCATTCCTAATTTTATGTGTAAATTTGCAGATACACACAAATCCCATCTATTCAACTTTCCATCTCTACATGAAGCAGAAATATCAAAATCTGGGCAATAAACAACGTTGCTTACTCTGTCATGACACCATTCTCATCAGCGAAACCTTTTAGCGAAAAGGTTTGTTTCTGTAAGTTGTTGTTTATTGTCCCTTATCAGGGTCGTAGCAAGTTACCCTGGATATTTCCGAAATATAATTACTGTATATTGTATTACAGGGAAAGAAAAGTCACCTGTTCAAGTTTGGTAATGTGTAACCCGTATAGAGTTCGTTTAGGGTTACACATTACAAGTATACAGTTCGTTTATTGTAATGTGTAACCTGTATAGAGTTCGTTTATTATAATGTTAACCCGTATACAGTTCGTTTATAGTAATGTGTAACCCGTATAGAGTTCGTTTATTGTAAAAATGGCCTGTATTCATATACTTACCCTTCCATCTCATTAGATAAAATCAAAACCTCATTCTGTTTTTACATTTTATGTTTCCTAACGATTGTATTATAATAAATAAAAGTTGACTATATAAGTTTCTTGATCACGAAGTTTCATTTATAATTTATATTCTAAGAATTTTGAGGCCAATGACAACTTTTACAAGTTCGTCAAGGAGTCCACAACATAAAAAGGTTTGGGAAACCCTGGTTTTTACACTTTAACCTACGAGAGAAACGCGTGCTGCACGTTGCTCAGGCTTTCGTTATATTTATGGTTAAATAATACACATGGGCACAGAATCTCGTAAGTTCAGCTATTCTTGAGACACCTTACAATATCGACTGCACACACACTGTTTGAGTCCCGCTATTTTTGAGCGTCGTTACACAAATGTTAAACACACAAATATAAAAGAGAAATATGTTGCCCTAAAAATGTTTGTGCCGTTTTAAAGTACAAGTTTAAACTAGTAACTTTTCAATTGCTACAGCGGAAAATAAACACACAAACATATATGTATGTATGTATACAAAGTGTTATTTGTAAGGTCTTATTGTTACGTTTATTCTTTAAATAACTGGTTAATTATCAAACATTTTGATGATAATGAAATATGTGTGTGTGTGTATTAACATGTGTAATTGTTAAGGCATATTCTTAAGTTTTCCTTAAATGTATGCGTGTATATAGTGATGATTTACTTAGTGACGTAATCATTCGTCATTCTCTTCTTAGTGACATCATACCTATATTTGTATGTTTGAGTGAGCTAAAACTAGATGCCATTGCCTACATAAAGCTTGGCGCAATCCGCTATCCTTGAAGTGTGGGTTTTTCTCTTCGTTCTTCCACGCAAACCGGCTTCTTTTCGAAAACTTACATTCGGTCTTCTGTTCGTTTTAAGTGTTGGTTTAATTTTACTCAAACTGTTATCAAGATATATTGAAGAAAATAACTAAAACTAGCCAAGCACGGTTGACCTTATACTGGAAACTACAAAAATATGAACAAATAAATAACAATCAGACGAACAGAAACTACTTTGGTTAGACAGGTTTCTATGAATTTTCTTAATGTTTTTTTTTGTTGTTAATTGTGATGGTAGGCTTAAGTGTTAAAATATAACAGTCTTAATACCACTGTCTTGCATTCTTACTAAAACAATCTTGTTGGAACGAAACCACATACACGCGTCACTTGTTACGCACTTACCATTGTTGCCTAATGGCAGAGTGGCCTGGAGAAAACGACTGTGGTACGCTGAGAGAGACGCTGGGTCTGTAGCTGCGCCCGTTCGATTCATATCAAGAAATGCGGCTCGTAGAGGAGTCGGGTGCGGCGATGGAGCATCTACGGGAAAGCCATGGGCTGCGTGAAGTCCCGCGCCGCCCAACAGCCGTGATCGTTCGAGCGAGAAGTCGGACCGACTTTCCATCCTCTTAATAACAACCGTAGCGTTACCCCACCGAGTCGGCCGGCGAAGAAGCACAAATATTGGAAAGTTGTGAAGTTTCTATGGACATTTTAGTTTTGCATCACTGGACTCTTGTCATTTTTACCATGTTGTACCAGTTCGCAGCGGATGAAGGGAAAAACTAAGGTCTACAGTCAGTTCGATGTCTGTAACATGGAAATTGATGAAAACAAGTCGAAGATAAACACCGAGAAAAACAACTACAAACTTTCACGTTAAAACACAACTCACACAATGACGACTACAGCTTGTTGCCACTCCTTCTCTTCTGGTGCAGTTAGCCTGCTGCTGTCTGCCAATAACGGGTCTGAAAAAGAATGGGACTTCAATTAAAACTAGATGAATATCAACAAGTTTTTTTTTTTTTATGAGAAGTAGACCATGCAACTTATCGTTAACTATATCTATCGGTACTGGCTGGGAACTAGCAGTTTTGAAATAACTTACTCCGCACGCTATCTCGTATCCGGTGCGCGACACGGGCGACTACTGCCTGTCCTCCGATAGTGGGAGGTTCAGTTTTACGAAGTTTTAGGAAGAAGGAACCGGTTCGCTCTTGGTTTTTTTTTCGTCTCGCCCTACACTGTACACCCCCTTCCTGCTATTAGTCGACTCGCCCATTGAAGCTTCAGTATTGACTGAAGTCTTCGGCGTGCCGGCAGAGTGGCGCTCGTGCTCTGGCGGCAAATGTCGTGTTGTTCGAGCGTTCTTAGCGGGGATTGGCTAGGAGCGATTTTCGGGCTACATTGGGCGTGCGCCAGCCGAAGAGGTGATGTCACGCACGCACTAATTCCCTCGGTAAATGCTTCCAAGAACGACCTAAAGCTGCCTTGAAAGGGTTGAAGAAAGAAATGAACGAATCCGATAATGCAAGGATAGTTAAATATTAGCTAGTTCCTGCCCGAGTGAGAAGTTTCTTTAAAATTTCATTTTCCAAGGACAGTTGGCTATTGCTGACGTTCAGTTTAGTTTTTATTTAGTTGTCATTTGAATAAAACCACACTCGGGAAAGTTTGATTCTCTTTAAAAATAATAATAACAACATTTTCGGTGAGGTTTAAAAGGAAAATGTTTGAGACGAATAATTCTGAACAATTTAAAACTGTCCATCTGATTATTACTGATACAAGTAAAAAATTAAAGTTTGTTTCGACATGATGTAAGTTACAAAGTTAGATAGTAAGAAAGAAATTGGTAATTTTTCAGTCTTAATCTGCAACATGGTCGTTCAGAGAGAGAAACAAAAAACTGACTTAGTGTTTTCTTAGTGCAAAACTACACAATGGGTTGTCTACACTCTGTCCATCAATTCTCAGATTTTAACATTGGAAGTCCATAAACTGATCGCAGATCTATCCAGAGGAACAACACGTATTTAAAGCCACTCTTGTATATCATTTTATAAACAATTCCAAGACTTCATGAATTCCCATTTTACATCCGAAAAATTGTAGGTTAAATTAACAAAATAAGCACTTGTCATAAGGAATGCTTCGTCAATATTTAACGGTATATGAATTTTTCAACAATTTCATGAACCATGTTTTGTGTATTTGGATATAACGGCTGGTGAAGAGAGCAACTGACATCGTTAGAAGTTGGATATCCTCTTGCGGCTAAAATTCGGGATCCAATTCCTGCGGTGGGTACAGGTGGTGAGAATGTATGTGTAAGTTGAACATAGCACAGCCGTGATTTGGTTCAAGACCATAAGTACAACCACTAAAAATTTAATACACGGGCACTTTACTACTACAGAAAACAGTGTAAAAACGTTAAAAGTTACAATTTAAATGCGGAAAGCTGGCGTATGAGAGAGAAGATATAGATCTGAAATTCTATTTTTACACGCCTCTGATTTTATATCCGAAATGGATAAATTAAGAGGAACGCGGGGGAATAAACACCTACAACCTACGTGATTTTTATCGCACATTTTAGGCCTATACAATGTATACGGTACACTTTTTTTCATCAATAAGACAGTCTTCGTAAAAGTGACTTCCATACTTCGTCGTCAAATGCTAGAAATTAAAGGTACATCTCGCTCTTGCTGGCAGCAAATAAAGAAAGGTAAAAATACCAAAATCCTGCTTATAGGTTAAACAACAATGATTACAACTAAACTTTCTCCAAAGTTCAGCATATAAACACAATACTTCAATACAAAGACTAACACATGAACTTACACCACAGCAGTTTATTACAAAGACTAACACATGAACTTATATCGACAGCAGTTTATTACAAAGACTAACACATGAACTTATATCGACAGCAGTTTATTACAAAGACTAACACATGAACTTGTACCAACAGCAGTTTAT